CAACCAGTTTGCAGAAACATAAAATAGATATAGGCCTACAAATTGACATGAGAGTGTGTTGCATTCAGCAGTTAAAAAGTAGTGTAAGAAACACCAGTATAGATGAATTGCAAATACAAACAATGTACAAAAGCTGTCACTGGGGAAACACTGTTTCAAAAGGTACACTTTTGTACCTTTTTACCTCTAAAAGGTGCATATAGTACCTAAAATGCACATTTTAGCACGTAAATAGTACCTTTTGAAAGGGTACAGCCCCAGTGACAGCTTTGAACTTTTTTTTTTCTTTCTAAAATGTACTTAAATAAATGCAGATATATATGTGAATTTTGAGGTAGGCTATAGATGTTATAGTGCTGCAAAATGGTTAAAGCATGCCAAAGCAGCATGCAAATATTTATTCCATTCATTCATATTTTGCACTTATGCACAGATGTGCAAGAGTAAGAGCAGTCTTATAGTACATGTCTCAGTATGTCTTCCCCAAATAATATCATGAAACAATATCATTATATAATTGCAATGATTTGTCTGTTTAGTTGGCCATGGGATCCCAAAGCCACCTTTGAAGCTCTGCTTAAGCTTGTACCTTGCATTGGTTGAAAGTAAAACAAACTCTCCAATATGTTCCCCAGATGGTCGTGTCGCCCTGAACTGACAAAAGTTTAAGTGAGTACACACGCTAACAGGAAGCTCACACAATAGCCCAGCGGTTATGCTCAGAGGACACACAGTACATTTATTGTTCAGCTCTCATTTCCTGCTGTTTAATGAAAGTAAATATCAAACTAGCTCTTAAGACACATTCTTAACATGGTGACTATGTTTATTCAACTGGCCCTGGGTTTGACCCGTATAACCATGACTGGAAAGCTGGGAGTCTCATCAAACTGAAGATGCTCTCATCCAGAAACACTGAAAGGTCAGTACATTCACACTCTGTTTAGTCCATCTCAGTCTCGTCAGGCTAAAGTTCACGGTTGAAAAAACAAGATGAAGATGAGTGAGCAATAAGTGAACACACTCAGTGAGGCTGTTCATAAAACTATACAGCGATCAAACAGCAGGGGTATAGGGTTAGATCTCTGCCACAATTCTGCACGCGAAAGATCATATTTTGAGCGCACAAAAGTGCATTTTGCACGCGTGCGATCTGAGTTTTGTGGAGAAAATGTTCGTTTCGCACTTTTACATAAAAACATTAGGCTATAGCTTATATTTATTTAGTACATTTTTAAATTAATGTAAAAACTAAAATGAATTGTAAAACTGAAAGTATTTTTTTAAAATTGTGTTCAGCATGGTGGGCCGCATTTGAATTCATGACGGGCCGCGGGTTGAGAACCACTGCTCTAAGCAGCGCTGCTTCAAGTCGAACACATCTAAGCAGTCTTCAGAGGAAGCTGGCACGCTACAGTGTTGCCAAGTCCGCGGTTTGGGGAACCCCTCCAAAAAAAAACCGGTGGACCCCCCTCGAAACGCGCGCGATCTGAGTTTTGTGGAGAAAATGTTCGTTTCGCAAAGAATAAAGTATTTAGAGCGCACAAATCAATTTTGCATTTAAAATACATTTTTGGATGTCTGCAGACCTTCTCTTTTGCTCGTGCAAGGTTTCACTAGCTTGCTCCCTTGATGCCCGCCCTCAGTGCTCTCTAAATGCCAACAGCTCACTTGCTCAACACATCCCAGCGTTACAATATGCCATAATTCCAGCCAATCAGAGACGAGGCTGCTAAATTCTGATTGGCTGCTGAAAGGAGTGAAATTATTTCCTTATGAAATTCTTTGTAAAGCCAAAATAAATTATTTCCTTATGAAATTAATTCCTTGTGAAGCCAAACACTCAGGGACTCTCGCAATGATTTTATCAGATAACAACCCAGCGTTACAATATGCCATAATTCCAGCCAATCAGAGACGAGGCTACTAAATTCTGATTGGCTGCTGAAAGGAGTGAAATTATTTCCTTATGAAATTAATTCTTTGTAAAGCCAAAATAAATTATTTCCTTATGAAATTAATTCCTTGTGAAGCCAAACACTCAGGGACTCTCGCAATGATTTTATCAGATAGGAAGATCTGGAAGAAAGACCATTTGCTCTTCGGTTCCTTCACCCATCCTCCCCCCCTGGGCACATGGTCCAGGTCACTAAAAGTTGACAGAGAAATGCCAAGAACTCAAGTTGCTAAAACATTTACTATATCTTCAGGATTCATGATCGTAAACTTTTCATGTTTGGTATCATTTTAAAGGTCTTTGTGCGATTGGTAAATTGGTTTCAATTTCACAGTAGTAATTTATATTATGAGAAAGATTTAAAACTTTTGTAGAATTGTATTCTGCTGAGGAAGGGGTGTGTCCCCCTTTAGGGGTCTGTGAGAATGTTTAAAGGTATTAGCTAACTTATTACACCCTCTGACTAACATCAGACTGGCTAGTTTGCGTGCGTGAGTTTACCGCAAACCCGGGGCGCGTATCTCTGAGCGGCATTGGGTCCCTGATGAACGAATAATTGAAAGTATGGGATTTACAGAATACTCAAATATCTAAATTAATAAACAATCGATATCTGTGATCAGCTTTTGATTAGAAATATTGCCTAAATTTAATGATCACGTGAAATTGGAGTCAGATTGAAAACGGAGCTAGACAAAATTGAAACTAAGTCCTGATAAATTCAGAAGCGCAAGTAAAAGACCGAATACGCATTAAACCTTTGACCAGGCCGCAAGATTCCGCTTTTTGGGCTGGCGGGTGGATCCTTACACTGCCTTGACAACCAATCACAACATTCCTTGCATTGCTGATGACAGCGGAAGAGGGAAAATACAGTGCATACATAATTATTATATGCAAGTTGATATTCTGATTATATTTTTTCCAAGCACATTTTACCAATTCCAAACGACATCAATCTTAATATACAGATAAAATCTCGAGATGGACTAAAAATGAACTCCCAAAACTTACTGCCAGATTCTGGAAGATACATTTTTCAAACAGTGGTACAAGAGGATGTGGTGCTGGTTCTTCAAGAGTCACTCTCAACTTATCGGTCTACAAAGTCTCTCTATATAAAAAAATCAGTCAAGCATTCAAGTATTTTACTACACTTCAGTATGTGATTCTTATTAAGTAGGGGTAATTTTTTAGGATTCTATACTTAACCTAAGTCTCTGAGAACCTGACACCTTGTACTTCTGGAGACTCCAGGTAGATTGCAGTTCTTCTCCACATGTTTTTGACTGACCCTGCTGACCCACTGAGCATTTTGCTGTCCAATGGTTATGCATTAATGTTTTTAATTTCTAGTACTGTATTAGTTTTGAATATTTCTCATGGGCATTTAATAATTTTTGACTTTCAGTCTGAGTTAAATCTCTTTTTTTGGAGATTTAATCTCCAAAAGAGATATAATCTCTTTTTTTTGGCTCATTTTATCTGTAAAAGAAAATCTGCTTAATAATTATGTACACCTGAATATGACATTTTTCACTTCCAGCCTTCATGAATAATTATATATCAATTATAAATGATTAAATACAAGATTAATAGTAGTTATTAAGATTTATGTCGTTTGGAATTGATAAAATGTGCTTGGAAAAAATATGATCATAATATCAACTTGCACAATAATTATGCATGCACTGTATTTTTCCTCTTCTGCTTCTATAGGCAATGCAAGGAATGTTGTGATTGGTTGTCAAGGCAGCCAATCAGAATTTAGCAGCCTCGTCTCTGATTGGCTGTAATTATGGCATATTGTAACGCTGGGTTGTGTTGAGCAAGCCAGCCGTTGGCATTTAGAGAGCACTGAGGGCGGGCATCAGGTGAGCAAGCTAGTGAAACGTTGCACGCACAAAAGAGAAGGTCTGCACAAATCCAAAAACTTATTTTAAATGCAAAATTGATTTTCGTGCACTAAATACATTCTTCTTTGCGAGACAAACATTTTCTCCACAAAACTCAGTTTGCGCATGTGCAAAGCGCACTTTTGAATTGTGGAATTCTGTGCAATTGCAAAATTGTGGCAGAGATAAAATCCCATACGGGGGAGCTGCACCACTCCTGAGTACGGATGTCTGACTCGACGAATCGTTCATTTGAATCGGTTCATTTAAACGATTCAGTTCACAAATCACCTTGCTGCTTAACCACATTATATAAACCACACCAATTCTATATATTATCGAATCCTGTAACACTAATTAAAATTTTTGTATTTTTAAATTGCACTTCATAAAAACTTCTGGGAACATACAGGCGAATACTCGAAAGAAACGTCTGAATAAATTATTAGCAAATCGCACAGCCAAATGATAGAGCAACGAATCTAACAAGAGCTAACTTGAGTTTAAAACAAAGCTCAGACATGAAATGTGTATTTTTAGTCATTCAAACATAACAAGCATTGATATAAATGTTTAGTCTGTTGGTTGGTTGCTGGTAAACCGGTTTACCAACCCAACTTCAGTACATGCTGAACTAATTGCTGATAAATGCATGTGTTCTCCTTACAGATTTTAATTTGACTTCACTATATTTTTGGTTGGTGCTTACACTGTAAGTATGCCAAGTAAATTTGTTTAATTTATGAATCGTAAAGCCAGCACTTTGCATATCTTGCCAGCATTGTTGTAACTTTCTGTTTTTACACCCGTTATGATTTGTTTTCTTCTTATTTACTGTATTTTGAAGAATGAGAAAATCAGGCTGCTATTTGGATTAGGGATCATCACGATCACAGGGATGATATTCATTTTCCAAATGAATAACAGTTTGCCCACAAAAACGTACCAGCAAATCAACAGCTACAACAGTATATCCAAATGTTTAGGCAAAGCTGTGACAAAACGTAGAGCTGAATTTTCCAGGATTCTGCACTAGATGGCAGAGTTTACAAGGCAAAATACAATTCAAATAAAACAAATACAAGACAATAGAGCGAAAAAAAAACAGAGTTTCATTCAATGACACAATCTACAGAATGACTGATGCTTTAAATAGCTATTAAAAGATTTATTACAACTTTATTATAATTTATACATACCTTTCACAAGCTACAAGTTGACCGCCTACACAATAATTATCACACCCTTTTTTCCAAAGTGGACCTAGTAAATAAGAACAAAACCCCCCCATTGTAAAGCTGCCATTTCCCGGCTGAAAATCTAAGAGTAACAAGATGTTCAACTGCAACAGAGACATGGTTGAAACACTGGTCCAGTTCTCTTAGAGAATTCAGTCATGCAGGTCAAGCACAGAACGACCGTCATACAAATTTACCTTTGAAACCAAAATCAAGTTGACTTAAAAGCAGAACAAAATGCAGCAAAGTCTTGTAGAACTACACAGTAGTAAGCCAATAGATTTAAAGAGAGAAGAGGATGATAATGAAAGACTTCATCTATTTTTCTTACTTAGTAATCGTCACTAAGCATAACTTCATAATAGAACTTAAAAGACAGTAGTTTTATATCTGTCATTGTTTGTTTTGAAGAGCAGCTCCAGTTCCTTTTCAGTTTTGTCGAGTTTTATGCTAAAGACAGAATTGCTGAAGACGGTTCGGAAAGCCTTATTTAAAGGTTTGTTCAGGTGATTTTTTTTTGTCGTCATGATCCTAAGACAAACATAGTACCAGTAGAGATCACATACAATGATTTCATCATAATGGCATATACAATGCTTCCTTAATTACACTGTAATCAGAAAGACAACCAAAGCGAATGAACTAATGAACTTTTCTCAATGTTTCTAAGAGTCAGACACCACAAATACAAAGTCAGCCACTTTGCAAGTAAGCGGAAAAAAATCACTTCATTCAAAATAAGTCCATGAAAAGCTCTCAGGCAAGTCTATTTCACTAATTCACCTAAAACTTCACTGTAAGTAAATTGTAAAATAAATGTGTTATTGTGATTTCAATAACCTGTAAATGGCACATACAGAAGTAAGCATTTGAATAGCCGGCATGGTGACTACAATCACTGCCCAATCAACAATCATTCATGTCAGAAAATCTTCCTTAAACATGCCAAGAACCATATGAAACATTCACACAACAACACGTCACTATTTCTAGAAGACCGACGATCAGATATGTTTTAACGCTACTGCTTGTGTCAAACAATGATCGCTTATAAAAAAAACAAACAAACAATAAAAACCCTTTCACTACCTTCATGTGCAAAATATAAACCGCATATAAATTAGAAAGTGGCCAATTCTTCCATCTTCAAGCCTCTGATAGTGCTTCAGTAAGTCCGTTTCCTCTCACTATGAATCCGGATACATTTGGACACATCGTCTCAATCCTTCCTTAACTCGATAAAAACACCACAAATGGAAAAACCATAAAACAATCAGTACACTTTCTGCATAACCTCCCAAGTGCCTTCCCTGACTACTGTACTCTTTGTAGAAATGCGCTGGATTGAAAAGAGCTCAAATGAAAACAGAGGGGAGACAAGACCGGAGTGTTCCAGGGAACATCTCTCATCGCCCTCATTTCAACATGGCTGCCAGGAATCAAAGCGACCAATCAGAGGCCTGATCAGCTTCCTGAAGACTGGGTGTGAGAGGAAGAAGCACCGCCCATGTGCGAGTCGTCTTCCTCCTCTGTGCTGTGGTCTGCGGCGGGCCCCAGAGCGGGGCCGGATGCGAGGGCCGCTGTGGAGGAGCTGACGCCGTTGGATGTGCTGATGGAGCTGTGCTGGATGGCCTCGTTCTGTGGGCTGCTGGGAACAGACATCTCCCCACAGCTGTCCTCCTTATCCAGCTCTGAAACACACAGCCACAGACAACTCTTAACTGCTTTCACACACATTGCATTTAATTGTTGTCTAAATTACTGTCGGTTAAATCTGGGGAAAAAAAAAAATCAAATGACCATGGATGTGTTTAAAATAGCAATATAATATATGGAATACCCAGATGACCAAATATATGTGTCAAATATATTTGTATTGAAATGTTCAATACACAACCAGAGCACACCATGTGCGACAAGTGCTTGACTTGACCTTCCAGTATGAAGAATAAACCAGAAGTCATAAAGAAAAGAAATAAATACAACTATTTAAAAAGTTATTAAAAGTAAAAATAAAAATATAAATAAATAAATAAATATTTGGAATAATTACAATTTTGTTTTTGTTTTTGAAAGAAGTCTCTTATGCTCACCAAGGCTGTATTTATTTGATCAAAAATACACTAAAATGTAAAAAAAATAATTACATTTTAAATATTAAATGTACGAGACCAAATGCAACTTCAGCAGGTCTCAACCAGAGCCATTGAGAAACAAAGAGTTGCGACACTCCCATAGGCTTCCATAGGAACTGAGGAATGCGGAAGTAAAGCGTGTCATTGAGCAGCCAATAGTTCCAAACAACCAATAGTTCCTGTATTGAAGCCCATTCATTTCAGTGCTTCTCAAGCACACTCGCCAGAAAGTTGAGGAAATTACAGCAGTTTTTGGCATTTTAACGCATTAGTTTACCTTTCGGAAATCTGCCCAGTAGTTGTATTTTATGAAACGCGTTATAGTTAATGTTTCGTTTTAGATAATAGGCAGTTATGCTATATTTGCAGTTAGATAACGTGAGGAACACCTTAATAGCGATCACAACCAGATGCTAGTTGTCATATTTTTAAGTTTTTAGTCTTTCTGCAATCTTTCTCTCCCTGTAGGAAGTTGAGTGAGTTTCAGTGAAGACTGCCCATTAGAGGAATACAAGAAAGAGTTTCCCTGAATGCAGTTTGTTTGCCTTGTGTTTTTTTTTTTTTTAAACGTTATTTTCATTTTTTTATTGGGTTAAATCCCGTATTTGCTGGCCTTTTTTAACATTCACTTATATTGTCTTCTTACATAAATGTCATAAAATAATACTGGGATGGGAGTAATTAATCTTTTTAAATTCAACATTAAAAAAAGCAAAACTTATAAACATTAGGCCTCATTCATGAAACATGAGCAGAACAAATTTTTTTGTAAATCTTTCATAAAGCTGTTCTGACGTCAATTTTCGGATTCATGAAAGTGTTCGTATTTTCAAAATGTTGGTTGGTACGAAAGAAATTTACACCTGCTCCCTGCCATGTGTAAATGGTGCGTAAAACATTCTGTGTTCTTTTTGGCAAACTGATGACACTGAATTTTGATGCACTGCCATCATAATATTTTACAAGTTCGTTTGCTCTGATTTTGTTTTTGTTTTTTTGTAGCTGGGAGTTGATAAACTGTTTAGCTTTGGGTAAAACGCAGCGCTTGTCACTGTCACTTTTTACCCAGCCGTCCAATCAATGGAGGAGGGGCGGGACAAATACGAGGCTACACCGACCAATCATCCTACTTGTACAACAATTGAACGACAATAGAGAAGTTAACATTGCTGGTTACTGCATTTTTATATTCAGTAATAATATTCTTCAAAATGAGATACCAGTAATGCGTTACTGCCGTGGATATTCCAAATGATAGCAATCAAAGCGTCTCAGCTGGAAAAACGCTGTGCCACCAAAGCGTTCTCCAGCACCACCAGCTGGTCGTTTTCAGAAGAGCATCTGCCATTTTTCAGCTGGCTAAAAACACTTTGGTGGACACACTTTATTGAATATTTATTGTTAGGCATATGGCCTATTAATCTTTTCGAAGCGTTTGTGAATCCGGAGGAGAGTTTTCGGGAAGGTCCGTTTTACGCGCAAATTACTCAGAATTTATTCCTATATTTACGAATGTTTCATGAATGAGGCCCATTGAGTGTTTGATAATGTCTAAATATACAATGCAAAACATAAAATAAATAAATAAATAAGCTATTATGACCGTTAAAACTCTTTACAGCAACTAGAGTAGAGCTAAATCTATGTAGGCTATATTTATTAATCAGCCATACGGGCATCTAGTGGTTAAACCATGGCATTACATAGGAATATTATTTTTCTGGCCACCAAAACGTCTCTAATTTGCCTCTGCATTGGAATTTAAAAACATTTTCTCTATTTTAACCCTAAATACTACGCTAATTGTAATATAAATAATAACAAAAAAAAAAAATTTTTTTTAGAAAAAAATATTAATGCCGTCTCTTCATCACTCCCCAGAATAAAATGCGATTGTAAAACGCAGACAGCGTAGTTATCAATACACAATCAATGCACATGATGTGTTAATAATCACTAGAAATTGCTGCAAATATAGTGAAACTGCTGTCTATCCTATTTAAACCCATTCAAATATATTGACAGCGCGGAGTTGTTTGGAACTATTGAGAGCTACATGAACCTCGTGACCGCGTGGCGGCGAGATCAAAGTGTGTCGCAACTACTGATCTATACATAATACATATATCTCTATTATAGATCAGTGGTCGCAACTCTGTTTCTCGACGGCTCTAGTCTCAACATAGTAAACAAAACAAGCGTTTCCTTGCAACGACAACTGCTAAACACTAATGAGACAAGAAATAAAATTAAATAAACTTACGATCTGCTTTTAACTTCCGCTGATTGACTGCTTTTCTCAAAAGAGTATTTCTTTACACTGTCTTTTGCTAGCGCTTAAACACACTTTACTGTTTATCACAACAAAGGGCTAAGCAAGCGCATGACACTGACAAGGTATGCGATACAGTACAAGACCAAACGCTACCTCAGCACGTCTCAACACAGTAAACAAAACAAGCGTTTTGTTTTAGTTTAAAAACTAAGCGTTTTAGTTATTGCGATTATATTTTTATTGTGAATTAGCGATGAGGAAATTTGTCACTCAGGATCTGTAGCGCTTGTTCTGATCTTTAACGTTAGATCTTCACAAGCCCCCTGAAAGTATGGCACCATCTCTGTTTCAGCCTCACCTGACCCGTAATCACCATGTGACTGATGACTCTTGAGTTGTAGTGTTGACATCTACCGTCAGGAACTAACTGTCTATGCTAACGAGCGATGGTGTGGCGGGAGAAAGCTACATTCTGACCCCGCGAACATCTAAAGTTCTTTCGCAGCAGATGAGTTGCTGGCATGATTGCGATTAAAGACTTTCCCAGTCCAATGCTTTGTCTTTTATTAATCCCTGCGCTTGCTTTGTAACCTTTAATTAAAGTTACAATGTCATTTTAAACCAACATCATCAGGCTATATTAGAGGCTGTAGCGTGTGGCCAGACTCGCGCACCCCTCCCCACGATCCCCTCTCTTTCCTGCCAACTACTGCAGCGACAGATAATTACTGCACCTGATTTTAATGATACACACACAGGAGAGCGGCAGAGATGTGCGGTCCAAATGCCACCAGCTGTTCTGCAGTTGCATTGAATTAATTGGCTCCTGATGAGGAAGGGAATGAAAAAAGGCTCGCTCTCGCTCTAACTTGCATAGAAATGCAGACTACCATGATAATTAATATAGCTAATGAAGCAAGCACCGCTGAAATGGCACTTGGTAATTAATGCGAGGGTATCTGATTGTGTGCGCGCTTCTGATCTGGTGTCTTGAATTGACTGGGCTTCAGTCTGGTGACTTGCAACACATGGGGTTACAAATATCCTCGCTGTTCCATGCATGTAAGGTCGAACTCGGAAATCAGAACTGGTTTTTCTCCTCTCTTCGGCTCCATGCTCAGGCATCTGTAATTACTCCTAATGGTATTAAGCAGGAAAGGGGGTGATATATTATCATACACAGCCTTACATGCTCTGGAGACCGCTCTCCGCTCACCTCCTCTCGGATCATCTCCACTGTGAGCAGATGGGGCTTGTGCAATGCCAAACGGAGGCACGGCCTGCCCTGTTTGCAGGGCAGCCTGGGTAATTTTCCCCCACCTGCTACCAGGGCAGAGAGATTAAGGCCAGAAACATACTTTACTTAAGTATGCAATCACAAATGAAAACGCTTTGCCAAGCGGGATCTCGTCGGCCATATTTTACACCTGTCCCAACCAGGTACAATGCGATTTTCATATATTTCAGGCCTAACAGACTGTAATGAAGCAAACAAGACGGGAGCGTTCAGGTGACCGAATGAAACCTGCACTGACGTCTGCACTTTTTCACCGTATTAAGACCGTTCTTTGACAAGTGATGACCATCTGCTGCTTCTCTGTCCTGCGATGAATGTGGCACAAACTGGCATTGTTTGCAAAGACGGAACGATGCTCTTCTGCGAGTCTCATTTGCACAGGTGACTAATATATGACCCCTCGCAGTGTTCGGTGACATTGGCAGCATAAACAGGATTGAGGAATGGGTTCGATCATCTCCGTACCCTCCTCTACCTCTCCAAGACCGACCAAATGAATCGCACCCTGACAACACCATCTCACCCGACAAGCATCCTGCTCATAATATGCATGAGACCTGTCAGTCAAGGTGCTTAACAATGCCGGCGCATAATGAACTGCACGGCTGCAGCGGCGCATCCCAGTTGCGAAACGGCACTTCTGTCAGGCTCTCCGCTATAATACACTCATTTTGGAAGCAATCATTGTCAATACAAGTCAGCCTTGGGTTACAAATTGAGCCAAACGCAGACACACGCACACACAAAGCCAGCAACGTATCGGACACGGTGTGAAATCCAAGCGTTGGAAGTTATGCACAAAAAGTGCTTACACACCAGCAGAGCGGCGTGGGCAACAGTTAAGTTTTAGTGTCATGGAAATACTGCCGGCAGTCGTGCACATGCAATCGCTCCCACAACCGCTTCTCCATCCCTGTGACAACAGCTAATTGATATGAAGTGGCTGCATATGGCAGACGAGCCGCAGATCTGCACGTCTCACAAGGTGTCATTAAAGCGTAACGGCCAAAGACGTGCGTGTAACAAAAGCAGCCCTCGGTTTCTGAATGCCTCTTTATCACTCATCTTAAAGAGGACAGCGCCACATACAGCGGGGATCATTTTGTTAGCCAACATCGCTGTTGGGCAAATATTTGAGTCCTCGGCGTTCTGCGGTAATAATAAGACAAGATGAATCTGTGTTATTTCACACTCAGGGGTAGTTCACATTCCACTTCACATTTCATCAAAAACCTAACTCATTAGGAATAACACTCACCTGTTATAGTCAAAAACAAACTCAACAAATTTGGGAAAAAAAAACAAACCAACAAATGGTAATGTAGCAAAACCATGGTTAATTTGTGGTTACCGTGGTTTAACCATATACTATATAATATATTCTACACCATGTTTTTTTTTCTTTTAATAGCAAAATTTTGACAGCTTATTTAAGCTAGTAATATCCAAAAAATAAACAAAAATCTCACCTTTCAGAGCAGACATTGATAAGCATGTCCCAGCCAGGTTCGTCACTTGTTGCGGATCCATTTAACATTTCCTATGTGGTCTGTGTGTATTTGCAGCGCGTTTCTGTATTTGGTTGTGTTGTGAGTATTCGCAGCGCATGTGTTGTCAAACTGAATATGTTTTCTTTCGCTGGTGTTTTTTCTATCGCATGTATTTTTTTTCATTTGCAGTGCGTTGAGCTCTCTCGGCCACCGTAGAATAGGGTTGGAAAACACTGCCCTAGTATCCTAGTAGTCAAGTCAAGTCACCTTTATTTGTATAATGCTTTATACAATACTGGTTGTGTCAAGGTAGCTTTACAGTGTCCAACAGGAAAATAGTTTGTCAATAATGCAAGAGGACAATAACAAACAGTCAATTTTTCAGTTAGTGGTCCATTTACACATTTTCATTAGTAAATGAATCATGTTGATTCAGTAACTGGTTTGACTCAGTTCAGTGAAGGATTCATCAAATTGTTTCAAACCAGAAACGAATGGTTTATTAAAAGTTATTTACTAACGATAGCCTCGTGGACAGTGTGAATGTGCTGTGTTTCGGTGATGAGGTCACTCACGGTGGTATCCTGATTTCTTCTGCAGGAGTGTCACGGGACAGTCTTTATGAGCCAGTAAGAGCTGCTTCAGCTGGGCCACCTCGCTACGCAGAAGAGTCACCTCATTCTGGACAGAGAGGAAGAAGATGAGGAATCAACAGAAAAGGATCATTAGCTCTTCTTCATTTAAGCTTTTTTGGGACACAATTATAGCTGCTTAATGGCAGAGTCCCAGGAGAGAGAAACACAGAGAGAGCGGTCCCCTCCGTCAGCGAAACACTGTCGCCCATTCTGGTGAGATTTCCTCTCGTCTGCCGTTAGGACTCCCATGGGGCTGTGCAGATCTGCATGCACTAAAGACAGGCTGTTTAACAGTGAAGGTGACTTTACAGAGACCGAACGGGCGCGAAAGAAGGGCACAACGCCGCAGATTTAAAAGCTTTCTATGTTCCTCAGAAACATGGCCGACGTTTAATGTAGCAGTCTAAACGCGAGCCAGTTTATTTCAATCCATCTGTTTTATCTTGGCAGTGCTGGTACGGTTTGCAGATTTAAACACAGCTGTTTTAGACACTATGGCAACGTTCACCACAAACTGCCATCTTCCATTACGACCACAAAGTCGGCCTCCCTCCCTCCTTCTCTTCTTTCGGTATTCCACATCACATCAAAATGCACCCAAGACTCCAATATTCAGCCATTCAGTAATGGCGTTCGGAGCTCAGCTTGACCACAGGTTTTTATTATTAGGTACTGGAAAATAACTCATAAGGCTTAGGGGCACCGATATTAAATATCCTAAAATAGGACGCGCACGTTTGCGGTGGACTGGTATGGGTGTTCAACTGCCATGCCGATATCTACAGAGCAGTGTGGCAAATGGCTGATAGATAAATATTTACTGTAATAAATAATAATCAGCCTAGCTTTCTGGAATTTGACTGGTCAACTCTGGTCAGAAATTTTTTATAATGACACATTTGACTTTTGCTCCAGGCAAATTATTACCTGTGCTAAGTGCATGTCTTTCTGTACATGTTTCTTCTCATATAATAAGTAATTTCAAATCAGTGTTTTATGTAGATCAGTGTGTTATACATCAGGTGAGAAGTAGTGTTATAAACAGGATCATGCAGTCGACAAGTATTTATCACAAAATTAACCTTGACAGGGTGACCACAACCCTGACTGACCAAATATCAAAATTTACACCGATTTTGATATTTGAAAGGAAGAAAGAACCATTTAACATGCTCTGGAAGTTAAATATAATTTTGCTACCATGTGTTTTACCATAATTCAAATGTATGCAGTCATGTTATTATGAACTTTCAATGACATGAACATGTAAACTGACATATGGCTTCAGGTATGGTCCACCCTTTGTGCCTTTCAACAAAAAACATCAAACGAAATGTCTAAAATCTGACGAATCTCAACTGTCCCTGGAGCTGTTTTCAGTGAGATGGCGAAGCAGTAAGATCAGGCCTGTTCTGGCCATTAAAGTATTTAATGTTTTCACAGACCGGCTGCATCCATAAAGACAGCACAGTGGGGATGTTTGGCTCGAGTGCTGCTGTGCGCTGGTCGGCAAACCCTGACACCTCGTTAAAAAGCCAGTTAAGGATGATGTTAACGTAATTGAGCATCATTAGTGCTCTACGCTCCGATCAGTTGGGCCAACGGGGCAGAGAGGAACAATTACACCAGCCTATCAGTGCTGATAAATGCACTCGTATTAAACACCTTCTCTCCGATCAAGCTCGCAAAACATTCTGTTCTACACCCAACACCCTTCTTCAGTTCTCCATCTGTTTCATGTTAGTTTATTCCTTCATATAAGCCACACGTTAATCGCACTTGCCCCACCCCGTCGCGAAACCATTGCGCTTTGTTTGAACGGACAAATAAAAAAGACAGCGTGCAAATAAACAGTGGCACATCTCATTAAATTGTCTGGAACGTGCCGGCGCCGAGCCGCACTCTCCGTTATCAGCAGAGACAACGGTTACGTGAACTGTTTCGAACTTGTCAGTGTCGGATCCTAATTGCCTGCTACAAAACGGGGGTTGAGAAAGAGACGGCTTTCCCTCAGAGAGTTCCAGGGCAGCTCACAAACGCTCCGACAGAACAGACGACACGCTTGTGTGCCGATGACATCTGGAGGAAACGTCTTTATTGACAGGGCCATATCGATGCAGGAGACTCCAACAATCATGCCGTGGCTGTCATGCAAACACACTTCTTAATTTACATTAATGACTTTATCACCATCTTTGTCTGGCTCTCAAATGCACTCGAAGACAGTCTGATGTGTGTGTGTGTGTAGCCGTCCGTTCACCTGTAGCTGTCCGTTCATGCTGCTCAAGTCTTCTGCTTTTTTCTCCAGATTCTGCACCCAGACTTTCCTCTTTTGCCTGCAGCGAGACGCAGCGGCTCTGTTTCTTTCCAGAAACTTCCGTCTCTTCTCGTCTGGGTCCTCGCTGGTGGTTCTCCGCCGCCGCCCACCTGTGCTGGCTGTGTGCTGGGCTGGAGGGGCGGGAGACATCTGCACAGGCCGACAACCAAACACAAATCAATTAAGACCTTATTAGATTTAGTATTAGGGCTGCACCCACCAATGGCCCACGAAAACAGAAAACTTACCAGCCATAAATATTTACATGACCACGGAAATGTGTGTTGCATTTGATTAGATGTTTTAAAAATATTAATAATTCTCTTTTTACATTTTTTAATGTTTGACAAAGCAATTGTTGGTAAAACTTCACAATAAGGTAGAATTTGTTAACCTGCATTAGCTATCATGACCTTACAACGAACAACAATTTTTTTTAAAGCATTTATTAGTCTAACTTAATGTTTATTTATAAATACACACTACCATTTAAAAGTTTTTTAAAATAAAATAAAAAATATATATTTCAAATACATTTCTATTCATTAAAGACTTCTGAAAAAGGTATCATGGTTTTTACAAAAAATATTAAGTAGCACAATTGTTTTCAACTTTAATAATAATACAAAACTGCACATCAGCATTTTAGAATGATTTCTGAAGGATCATTCGATTTAAAATAAAGTGTTATAGTAAATCGTAATAATATTTGAAAATACATCTGTAATAATACAGTGGGGAAAATATTTATTTGATCTCCTGCTGATATTGAAAGTTTGCCCACTTACAAAGAAATGAAGGGTCTGTAATTTTTATGGTAGATTTATTTTAACGGATAGAGACAGAATATTAACCAAACAATCCAGAAAAAACACATTATATAAAGGTTAGAAATTGATTTGCATTTCAGTGAGTGAAATAAGTATTTGATCCCCTACCAACCAGAAAGAATTCTGGCTCCCACAGATTGGTTATGTGCCCATGTGGAACACAGATTAGTCCTGCCACTTTAAGGCTACATCCACACGAAGCCTTAGCTTTCCCTATCCGATCTTTTTTTCCCCCTCGTCTCAAGAAATATCTGCGTCCACACGAAACCACAAAACCGTCACAAAACGATGTAGTATACATGCCAGAACAGTATGTGGCGCTGTAATTCTGCCACAGAGATACACTAAAAACGGAGGAGAAGACTTGTACTATGCGCATAAACCTTGCACGCGGTATACAAACGAACATGGAACAATACATTTATTAATCTGTGTTAATGTTAGTTAATAAAAAGACAATCGTTCAGTGTTTGTTCATGTTTTTGTTGCTGTTACGTGACGTAGCGGTGTCTGACTAGGGGCGAGACGTGGGCTGATGACATCATCGTTTCAGAAAATATACGGATTCGCTGTCCACACGAAAACAATTTTTTTTATTTATCCACTCTGGGACCCGGTTTCAAAAAATATCGGTTTCACTCTCCCAAAACGCCGGATCCGTCTGGACGAAACACCTATACGATACAAAATTTATGCGTATACAGCTAAACACGTCTCCGTGTGGACGGGACCTAAGAAGTTACTCCTAATGTCAGCTCGTTACGTGTATAAGACACCTGTCCACACACTCTGAATCTTCCATTCCAACATCTCACACCACCATGGGCAAGACCAAAGAGCTGTCAAAGGATGTCAGAGACAAGATTGTAGATCTGCACAAAGGCTGGAATGGACTACAAGACCATCAGTAAGAAGCTTGGTGAGAAGGAGACAACTGTTGGTGCGATTATTCGGAAATGGAAGAAACACAAAACAACCATAAATCAGCCTTGGTCTGGAGCATAGACTGTAAAAAAAGATGGACAACGCGTCTCCTATTACTTCCACTATAGAAAACTGAAGCCAAAGCATCTCAGTATGGCCGCTGCCATCTTGAGTAAATGACGTCATTTGGAGCCCGAGTCTGCGCAGTAGAGATTCGTTTGGAGCCAGAGTCTACGCAGTAGTGTTGTGAGGTGGAGCCGTGGTATCAAACTCCCGCCCAAACTCCCGCAGACCCAATCAACCATAACGACACGTCCCGTTTTTATAGCATCAAATTACTAGCTAAAATCAAACTTATCACAAAAACGAACAATTTAACAAGGCGCACCCGGTCTGGAGCTCCGTGCAAGATCTCGCCTCATGGGGTAAGGATGATCATGAGAAAGGTGAGGAATCAGCCCAGAACTACATGGGAGGAGCTTGTTAATGATCTTAAGGTAGTTGGGACCACAGTCACCAAGCAAACCATTGGTAACACACTACTTTGCAATGGACTGAAATCCTGTAGCGCCCGCAAGGTCCTCCTGCTTAAGAAGGCACATGTACAGGCCCATTTAAAGTTTGCCAAAGAACATCTAAATGATTCAGAGAAGGCTTGGGAGAAAGTGCTGTGGTCAGATGAGACCAAAATTGAGCTCTTTGGCATTAACTCGACTCGCCATGTTTGGAGGGAGAGAAATGCTGACTATGACCCCAAGAACACCATCCCTACAGTCAAGCACAGAGGTGGAAACATTATGCTTTAGGGCTGTTTTTCTGCTAAGGGTACAGGACGACTTCACCACATTGAGGGGCAAATTGACAGGGCCATGTACTGTAAAACCTTGGACGAGAACCTCCTTCCCTCAGCCAGAACACTGAAGATTGCAAACCTGGTGACCAACTACAAAAAACGTCTTACCTCTGTGCTTGCCAACAAGGGTTTCTGCACCAAGTACTAAATCATGTTTTGCTTGGGGAACAAATACTTATTTCACTCACTGAAATGCAAATCCATTTCTAACCTATATATTATGTGTTTTTTTCTGGATTTTTTGGTTGGTATGCTGTCTCTATACGTTAAAATAAACCTACCATAAAATTACAGACCCTTAATTTCCTTGTAAATGGGCAAATTTACAAAATCAGCAGGGGATCAAATAAATATTTTCCCCACTGTATTTCAAAATTGACTGTTTTCACTATATTATACTATACTGGACTTTCTAAGCAACAGACCCCAGAATGTCAGAATGGGAGGTCACACATCATCCACACTCATCTTGAACACTGGCACACCACAGGGGTGTGTCCTCAGCCCTCTCCTCTACTCGCTCTTCACACACGACTGCTCCCCCATCCATTCTACCAACACCATAGTCAAGTTTGCTGATTATCCCACCATAGTAGGACTGATTATGGACAATAATGAGACTGCCTACAAGAAGGAGGTTCAGCATCTGACAGAATAGTGTTCCCTCAATAATCTGGACTTAAACATCTCTACAACCAAGGAACTTCAGAAGATCAAAGCACACTGAGCACTCTTTCCTCTGCATTCATGGAAAGGAGGTAGAGAGGATAGAGAGCTTTAAGTTCCTTGGTGTGCAAATCTCGGCCGACCTCACCTGGTCTGCACACATCTCCCATCAGGTGGGGAAGGCCCAGAAGAGACTCTACTTCCTCAGGAAGCTAAAACATGCTCACCTCCCTCATCACCTGCTGACCAATTTCTATAGGTCAACAACAGAGAGCCTCCTGACCTACTGCATCACGGTGTGGTTCAGCAACTGCACAAAAGAGAACAGGAAGGACCTACAGCGAGTGGTGAAAGCAGCAGAGCGTATCACTGGTACGACACTACCTCCCCCCCTCAAAGACATTTACACTGGCCGTCTTAGAAAGAAAGCCTGCTGTATTATAATGGACACCACTCACCCTGGACATCACCTGTTCTCCCCTCTGCCCTCTGGGAAGAGATACAGAACAATCAAAACAAAGACTAACAGATTAAAAGACAGCTTCTTCCCTCAGGCAGTCAAACGCATAAACCCTCCTTCTACCTCTCCCAAATGACTAGTGCACATCAAACCTGTGTCTCAGGAACTACAAGTGCAATACCATACACTGCATATTTGCACTAAATCATTTTACAAATACTATATACATAACTTTATATATGTTTATACAAATTACTGTTATATTTATTGCACGTATGTATGTACAGT